GTATACACACTATCCATATCATTCAATGATTATATTGATAATTTTGTTTGTTTTTGTTGACTAAACGAACCTTCAAATCAATGAAAAAAACAAATTTGACCATTAACACATCTATATAACGAACTACAAGCTCGTCTTCTTCTTACACAAAAAAAACCACCAAAATCCCTTACAAAAATGGCTCAATATTCTTCTCATCTCTTATGCTTATTGCTCTCAATCATCTCGATACTATCTTTCGGCCAAACCGAAGCCACTACAATCGCAAGTTTGGTGCCAAAATCGCTATACGACTCAATGTTCATCCACAAGGATAATACCGCTTGCCCCGCAAATGGTTTCTACACTTATGAATCTTTCGTGGAAGCAACGAGGCGGTTTCCAAGATTCGGGAGTGTGGGAAGCCTTGAGACACGGCGGCGCGAAGTGGCTGCGTTTTTGGCTCAAATTTCACACGAGACGACAGGAGGATGGCCAACCGCACCGGACGGACCGTACGCTTGGGGATTGTGTTTTAAAGAAGAAGTGAATCCACAAAGTAATTATTGCGATTCTTCTAATACGGAGTGGCCTTGTTTTTCTAACAAGACGTACCAAGGAAGAGGTCCAATTCAACTCTCGTGGTAAGTTTTATTTTCACTATCAATATGGTCCATATATCATATCATAAGTTATAGTAAAGGCAAGTGGGTACATAATGGTAGACTTGGTATATAACACTATGATGGTTTATGTCATACAAGATCCGATGGCATATAACACAACTGTTTCTAATTAGTGTTTTTTTCTTTTCATTTTGGATAAAAAGGAATTACAACTACGGACCGGCCGGTCGAGCTCTAGGATTCGACGGTCTAAGGAATCCAGAAACGGTTTCGAATAATTCAGTGATAGCTTTCCAAACAGCACTTTGGTTTTGGATGACTGAACAGAGTCCAAAACCGTCGTGCCATGACGTCATGATCGGAAGATACAGACCTACGACGGCTGATTTGGCGGCTAACCGGACCGGTGGTTTTGGTTTAACCACAAACATTATAAACGGCGGTTTAGAGTGTGGGATTCCTGGAGACGGGCGGGTGAATGACCGGATCGGGTATTTTCAGAGATATGCTGGGCTGTTTAATGTAGCAACTGGGCCGAATTTGGACTGTGAGAAACAAAGGCCCTTCGCTTAAATAATTTTATTTGGTTGACTCAAATCTTTACTTGTAAAATAAACAAAAGTCAACATATGTATATGCCGCTGCATTGCACACACATGGAGGGGTTTGATTCAACAATAATGTATTTATTTTCTTCTGTGGGTCGTCTTTGAATTTAATGTGATTTGATGGTTTTTGATTGCCAACCATTACCTACAACATTTAATGGGAGAAAGTTATTCCCATGGTATTCTTGATTTCAAACTAAAAAAATAAAATTAGCCAACAACTTTTAACTCTTTTTTCAACAAACATATATATATTCATGTTTTAGACTTTAAATGTAGATATATGCATGTTTTGAAATACAACAATATATTTTCCAACTACTACTATTTTAATCTATCATTTATATTATTCAAGAAATAATTAAGAAATTGAGTTGACAAAAAAAAAGAAATTCAATACTTTTACAATTCTATATGATCTGCTTTCTAATAAGCATAGGAGAACATAATTAAGAATTCTGTGTATCGTAATTCT